CCGGGCGACCACAGTCATAGTTAAGGACAGAGAGGTCAGAAGGGACGAGGGCATCTTTGCTAGACTCGTCGGGGTACAATTCTCTAGGACGACCCCGTTTTCGCCACAACTGCTCCTGAAACATGTCTTCCATCTAATAAAATGGTTTAAATTAAACATCAATCAAAACAACGCAAATTAATGTAAAATATAATCATTTGCATTGCAACTAAAATAATATAATCAACACTAATAGCAACAAAAATATACATGGTAAACATACTTCTAACTAAATAATTAACCTTAACATTGACAAAATCAAACTAATATCTTCCTCCAAACCGTAGCCCATAGTTCCCAAACATAATTTTCCTCCTAACCTTAACTCCCATTCATAATATTCTAATCCACCATTCAAACGAAAATAAAAAGTACGTCATTACCTTGAACGAGGCCGAGGAGGGAGGGAGGGAGACAGCACTTGGGAGTGCGCGGGCGGCCAAGAGCGGTGGCGGGCGCGGCGGCCAGGCGCGGGCGGGCGCGGGCAGGCGGGACTGGGCCGCGGCGCTTTTATTCGGCTCTACCGCACCACTGATCAGGGCGCGTCACTGCCGCACCAAGATTGGTGGCGCAGCAGGCCCTGCCACGTCACCAGTCAGCATTTCCGATCGTCGCCACGTCATCCACCCGCCGCGCCACCATGCATGGCGCGGCACAGGCTTTTAGCCACGCCATGGCAATAGGTACGGCCAAAAGTGTTAGTTTTGAAAAAAAAATAGTGTTAAATTCAAAATTAGTTTACAAAAAATGTTAAAATTAAAAAAAATCGGGTTGGCACTAGTAGACGTAGCCCAGTAGCATTGCAATTGCAACAGGCCAGCCGCCTCCTCAAGATTCGGGGTTAGTGGGTGACCTCTCCTCTCGACATACGCCGAGTGAAGCACCACCGGACTACCGGAGCATAAAGTGCGTAGTCGGGTTGGGTGGTTGCTAGCCTGTCAGGCGCGCTCTGTATTCTCGCCACATGACTAATCTTGCTACCTTCATCATCGATCGAGGGTAAAATGCTTTCTAAGGTTGACCACAGAGAAATTCTAATAATATATCAAAGCAAGTTACTTTGACCGCCAACCAGGCCGTCCACGTCACCCTGAATAGCCTTAGCCGTCCGATCTCCTCATCCGATGGCTGCGGTTGCTCCCTCCGGATTCTGGTCAAAGCGGATTCTTCTTCTTCTGCGTTGCTTCTTCAGCTTCCCCTCTGGTTACCTTGCTCCGGAACGGCTCCTCTTCAGAATCAGTGTAGGCCAAATATATACTCCAACCAGCTTCAGCTTCTACCTCCTTCTCAATCCTTCTCCTTCCCGGCTCGAAAAAAAGAGTTGTCCTCATCCTCCGTCTCCTCCCTCACCGGCCTCCCCTTCCTCTCTCTCTCCATGCCTCCTGAGGGGCGCCACCAGGCGGCGGTGGTGGCGCTAGCCCTCGCCCTCCTCCCCCTCATGTCGTGGCATGCGAGCCGGGCAGCCAGCGCCGCTGTCTCATCGCCGAGGTGCGGGCGGGCCACGAAGGTGCCCCAGGCCACCGCAGCACCGGCCCTGGCTGCGGCCGTCACCGGCGACGGCGCCACGAGGATGGGCGCCGCCGTTTGGCCACTGGCGTGGCTGCACCCCCAGGCGCTGCCTCTTCCCGCCGGCCCACCTCTGCTACTGTACTCCACGAAACCTTAGCACTGCAAGGTAGGGCAGCGTCACGGCGCCAACGGATCCACGGCGGTCGGTGCCTTCTGACGTGGCACGGTGCTCTCTCTCTCTCTCTCTCTCTCTCTCTCTCTCTCTCTCTGGAGCCACAGCCATAGCGCCCCGCACCCCGCACCAGGCCGTGTGGGATGCGGTGTGTGCGGTGGCCGTGGCCAGCCGTGTCGTGCTGTTTTCTTGGGCGCTTTTCTTATCTTGCATCTTCTGAGGTGAGATGTTTGATTGAGTTTTACGTCTTTTGGGGAGCAACATGGTATGCTGGTCTAATTTCATGGAAATAGTACACTCCAACCAGTAGATGTTACTGCATGGTGCAAATAATTCATTATGCTATACATATTGATGATTCAAGAATTGCAGTGTATTTACATACAGTTTTCTTTAATATACTTTTAGCGATTCTACCTATGTATATTTTAAAATGAAATTTTAACTGAAATATGTAGTTTGTTGTACACTGTTGATATAGGTTACCTAACTGAGTTAAATATACCTTCGTAATATTCAAGACAGTACCAATTAGCTGAAATTTTACACTTGAGTGATTTCTTGTTGAAAATACTAACCAAGCTGCCAGTCTTAGGTTGTATGGTGCTCTCAGTAGAAGCTTTGCGTGGCACCGTAGCAGGCTATTTTTCCTGCAGTAGACATAGTTTGGTGAGGCGTTGCTAACTTAACTACAGGATGTCTCAATCTAGTGGCTTCCTTCGGCTAATGACAAAAAAAGAATCAATGTTCTTGATGTATATAAAAGTAGCCTTCAGTGGCAACCATTTTCTGGTTTCCTAATTCAAAATGTCTCATATTACTCTATATGTCTTCGTAATATATTTGCATGGTTGTATTAGGAAAGGTATATGATAGGTACTCTTTTTTTAATTCTAGATTTATCTAATTTGTTTTTGAGGTAATTGTATTGGCATCAGCTCTGCAGATCAATTAAGAGCAAAGAGTCTTATGTACAGGATGGGCAAAAGCCCAAACACAACAGCAATGGGTTTGTACTGAATTTTTGGGTGCTCTATTCTATGTATACAGTGATCCATTTAGCCCATAATCACTGTATTGGTTCATTGAGTCATCGTTGTTAGCAAAGAGTCTTATGTACAGGATGGGCAAAAGCCCAAACACAACAGCAATATGTTTGTACTGAATTTTTGGGTGCTCTATTCTATGTATACAGTATTCCATTTAGCCCATAATCACTGTATTGGTTCATTGAGTCATCGTTATTATGGACTCTGTCATATTTAACTTCAACATAGCCCTTCTTGAACAATAGAATTTGTATAGCCTATAGAACAATCTGTATTTCTGGTCTGATAAAAATATATTCTATCTGTTACAAAGAACTCTTGATGATATGCATGTACATATGCTTCCCTATAGCTACACTTTTAAAGGGTCTGCGGAAAATCATCTCACTTTACCGTTTATCATGGATATGTGCCTCTTCAATTAGATTATTAGTCTGGTGACGCTGCCTTCAAGACCTTATGCATCGAAATAAAAATGATGTAGTTTTAGACTATCTGAATTGGTGGCCTCTGAACAAAATGGTGTAACTCAAGGTACGTAACTTAGCGGTGCCACTTCTAGCTGTACCTTAGCCTTATGTAGCAAAATAAAATGATAAACTTTCAGGTTATCTAAATTGATGGCTTCTGGACAAAATGACGGACCTTTATGTATATAGCTGTGCACTGATGGTTCTATATGTGTTCTCCTCCCCATTTGTGAGTTGATAAGAACTGAAAATATTAGTGGGTAAATACTTTTCTTTTGAAAAAAAATTTTGCTTCATTCTTTTCGAGTAATACATCCATACTGTGAACTTAAAATCTATGTGCTTCTATCCGGATTACTTATGTTACAGATATTTAATGCCCATGCTTCGTAATAGTTGCGGTAAAAAATATGTAATTGTTATACATAATTACTCTTCACAGCTTATGGTCATTAACTGTTGTTATTTTCCTGTGCCATCTAATATGCTTTAAAGTATAATTTTGATACCGATTGCTGGACTCCTATACTGCTTAAATAATGACGAGCAAGATTGTGGTTGGGCTTTAGCCTTGTTTCATGCCTTTGCAGGCTGATTTGTACAAGCCTCTACAATAATTTTCTAGATGCTACTTTGGGTGAGGTCATCCATCGTTGTCACTGACTACAACAAAAGGACCTGCTTTCACTGACAAAATAGAATCAGATTCAGGTCAGCTCATGCTCCACCTCCCAAATGTATGTATATATCCTCTGAACTTTTCCGATGTATATCTACCTACCTTATTACTTATAGTACCGTCTATATATATTCTCCATATTTCAAATCATTCCTATGCCCGCCTAATTCCATGCTCCGATCTTGAAAAAATATATAGACGTGTTTAGATCTGCGATTGCATTTTCAACTGACTGCCGACGCGCGCAATGGCGCGCGTGATGGACTGTAATAACAAACCACCAAAACCTTGGAGTATCTCCCTCCGATCTTGAATATACCAATTAACCCATTTCAAAATAATTAACCTATCTTGAACATCATATTTAAAATCGGAGGGGCTATGTACTAATCCTAATCTGCCTTAGACGTGTCCAGTCCAGAGCTCAATCTCAAAGAGACCACATCCAGTTCCAGCTTTCAGCACGGCGACCGTACTCCCTACATTCTGTAAACAACGATCCAACCCAAGCATTTTGACACATCTGCTGATTGCAGCATCTTGCAACACGATACTCCAGTAATTACAAATTGGCAAATGAAAACGCACTCGAGCGTTGCTTAAAGATACCCGTCTAATTACCACCCTGAACTAATCGTTCAGAAAACAGGAAACCAGTCCCAAAAAAGAATCAAGAGCACAATGACAAAAATGAGCGTCAACAAAGCAACACCATATATGCATACACAGAATAAATTAGCTCCAAACAAGTGGTAAACCTTAGTGAGTGGTAAATCAAACACCGAACAAAATTAACATGCAATTCCTGCATGCAAAAGATTACCGTAGCGGCTACTCAGTAACAGTGGCAGAGAGGCTTAGGTGCTAAAGAAACAAGCACAATGTACATCTACCAACGGCCAGATGCTTTTCAACAATAAAAGCAGACATGTAAAATTCCTGTAGACGACCCATCCGGATCCTTACCACAGTGCTCCAAACATTTGCCACATTAACAGAAAAGGTTCGTGGAACGAATTATTGGCTACAGCTTTGCAAAAACAACCAAAGAATTCAAAATTCACCAATCTGGGATGATCTGATCAGGGCTTCAGTGCAAGCGCCAAGCCAAACTTGGGGGGTCTGTCCAGGGCCTTGGTGTCGAATTCACCAGAGATTGTCAAGACTGACTTGGGTTTAAGCTCATGCTGAAGAAGCGCGGCAAGCGTTCCAGTGTTGTTGAGCCTTGCCTTCACGGCTGTCTGAGGATCAACTGTGTACAGTCCACCGACTGTGAGTGTATTCTGATTTGTTGAGAGCCTCCGGGTTAGCTCAGCCACAGCTGAGGCCTTCTGTTTCTCATCAAGGTGATAAACACCTGACACTTTAATGGTGTCACCTTTGTCCGCCCTGTAAAAGTAGGTGTGATGTATCAGTATTAAATACTTGCGTGCCAACCTCAAGAGCCACTCAAATCACGGTGAAGCATGGACTTACAGAATGAATGCAGCATGGTAGTCTGGCTTGGTTACACCAATTGCAGCAGTGTACTTGGTAAATTTTCCTGTAGCAGTGTCATACCCAGCTTCTGCACCAAATGCAACTCCTTGAGCGCCTACTGTCCCAGAAAGATCAATCACAGGAGTCGGCTTCGTGCCAACAACAGTAGCAAAGGTTGCATTCTCATGGAAGTATTGCAGCTCCACCTGGTACAAAGAACACATACACTCAAGGACCTGTTCTAATTCAACAACCATAACTTGACATTAAATGGAAATACCTTTCCAGAATTGTAGTCGGGCAGCTTCACAGAAGTGACAAGCTTTGTGGATGGCAAGGCGTCCAACACAGTCAATGTAGTAGAGATCTGCGGAATCATACAAAAAAAGTGCTACAGGTTTATGTCTAGCTATAAACTACAAAGAGAAAATGCATAAATTTAGGTGTTTCATGTCACTAACATTTGATTCTGTGTCCACTTTAACATCAACAGTGGTATTCTTGTACTTGTAAACTGAACTGACATCCAGAGAATAAAGACCTCCTTTCTTCACAGCTGTGGAAGTAAGGCCCTAAAAAAAGGAATAGCCATGACAGGCATGTTCATAAAGAGGTAATGCATATATAAAGAAAATAAGCTCAAACAACAGAAAGTACACTAGTATTGTCATCTAGCAGTTAACAACAGAATTTGTTTTTTTTTTACTAACTTTGGATGGTATTTTGATGAACGTATTTCAAAATAGTGCTACAGAAGCATAAAATGAAAAGGATATATAAATATATCAGTTTACTGTTGCTGAAAGAAGCAAAATGATGATATGACACGGCAAACAGAGTACACATGATCATAGCTGGTACATTAAAAAATGCAAATACTCAATATAACATTATTGCTGTGGTTTCAATGACTTACAGGGCGGTGAGCACTTATTATCCACACAGTAGCATGTACGTCTAGTCTTAGCTTCTCAAATTTAAGATGAGTAAAATAATTGGTTGTATGTCTATCTCCTGATGACCAATTGACAATTTAATTCAACAATATATTATATATTACTGAATCACCAAGTTGCACTTTAATTTAATTAATATATCATGCTTAAGTAAAGACAGCTTTTGTGATAGTTCAGTTCAGTCAATGAATGGTATGTTGCTATAGTAAGACTGATCATAGAGCATAAAGGCAAATTGGTACAGACATATCCAATATGGGTGCTGGAATCCAACCCAGTTTTGGGTGTCTGATTCAGCAATTTGCCAAATATAACTTAAGCTAATTATAAGAACATGATTATGGACTGATAATATACATATCTTTGGGAAAAATGATAGGAGACAGCTGTGACAGCACATTTTGTGAAATAAAAAAAATAGTAAATCAAATGACACTAAACGGAATCCTTGACTGCATACGTTCAGTACAGTAACTAATGAAATCAGGTTTAAAGCAGGAGGAAAATGTAACTGCACAAATTTGAATTCCCATCATTGGATACATTAACTGGCAGGTATCAACGCTCAAAACAATAACATGGTGACACCAGATATATGTGCTTGTGTTGATAAGATACTGACAGAGATGAGAAACTTGGCAAGTGGAACTACCAAACATTTATTAAAATAAGAATGTAACACAGAGTATGTCATGTACATATGCCAACACAGTGAAAAACTGAAAACAGAAGGCAGCAACAGGAGAAATCATGATAGGTTGTGCTACAATAGAATCTTCTAAAGGATTGTCTTGTACTGATGCTGAAAGTGCAACTTACCGAAACCAATTCCCGACAATGACCTTAATAACTTCTATAGAATACAAGCAGCTACACTTATTCAGTACTTACGTAATCAGAATGGCAGGCAGATACGCAGAAAGACTAATATGATGACTCAATGCAGAAATAAGGCATGAACAACAAAAGAATTTAAAACGAGCAAGCCGAGAACCAACTCATTTCTTCAGACGCATAAACCTTTGCAACTTCACAAAACAGTATAGGCTGAGATCGTGACCACCAATGTGCCAGCGGAAAGAAAGGTCAAACGCAGAATGTCAAATACACGTGCTAACTACTAAGTCTCCAGTGTGAGCAGTACTCGATGACCGTATTCAAGTACTCAACAAGCAACTGCATAAATCTACAAGAAAATGACCAAATTACCATTTTCCATCGTTCAGTCACACAGTTAACAAGCACCAGACACATTGTGCCCTCAAATACCAACACACAGAACTACAGATACAACGACCACAGAAATCGTAGGCAAATTGGTAAGGCAGATTCAAAAGTAGTAAGGTAACAAACACCTAACGAGGCACACTTAGCGGCCAGCGTGCGTACCGCACGACGACCTCGCGACGCTGAACACAGCCACAACCAGATCAGGCATAGCGGGCACGGACAAGCGAACAGGGCGAACAGGAACCAGGCAGCATGGAAATGGAATCACACGAGCGCGATCGGATCTTACCACTCCAGAGGCGCTGGCGGTGGAGATGGTCAGCTTCTGGTCGTACGTGTAGTCCTTAGTGAGTAGATCTGCAGATCATCAAACCACAAACCGAGGAAACCCGAGCCAATTAGAGAGATGACGACGATGATAGCAAGGAAACGAGTAGGAGAAAGTACCCTTGGCCTTCTTGCCGATGTCAGAGAAGAGGCCGGGTCCCTTCATGGCGGCGGTGGCGGCGGCGGGACGGAAGTGGAGGAGGGAGGCGGCCGCCGATCGAAGGCGAGGAAAAAGGACAGGTCAGGGCGCCGCCAAGAGGAGCTGTGTGGGGCGCGACAAATGACAGGCGCTGAGACCTGAGGGGAGTTCGGGGCAGCTCAGTTGCAGCCTGCACTGCACGTTTCGGCGTCCTCGGTTGCCCCGTAGAAAGGATTCGTTTTGTTTTTTATCTCTACTATAATTGAAAACTTGAGACTCATCACGGAGGTTTCAACGCTCCCGCCTGTATAAAAGGAAAGAAACGTCATCCGTATTGACGAAAAAAAAAACAAAATTCCCTTCTGCGCGAGCACGCCCGATGCCCGCCCGTCCGTCATCGACGAAAAAAAAGGAAGCCCGACGCCCGCCTGTCCGTCACGGCAACCAGCAACGGCGATTCCGCGACGTACTCGTGCTAGCAGTCCACGACGGAGGACGACCAGGATCCTGATTACGGCAACCAGCAACGGCGATTCCACGACGTACTATCAGCGGCGGTGACACGTCCCTCCATCGTGATCTACATCGAGTGCCGTACGCGACGTCGACTCCGAAAGCTCCACGGAGATCATGCGCGTGGCCAGTGCCCCCACCTCCACAGACAAAGCCTGAGACCTGACGCACTTGAAGGTTTGCCTTGCCTTCCTTTTTTTTATTTCCGTCCACGACGGAGGACGACCGGGATCCTGATCACGGCAACCAGCAACGGCGATTCCGCGACGTACGATCAGCGGCGGCGACACGTCCCTCCATCGTGATCTACATCGAGTGCCGTCCGCGACGTCGACTCCGAAAGCTCCACGGAGATCATGCGCGTGGCCAGTGCCCCCACCTCCACGGACAAAGCCTGAGACCTCACGCACTTGAAGGTTTGTCTTGCCTTCCTTTTTTTTATTTCCGTGAAGGCTAGGGTTTATTTGAATGCCTGCATGCCTGGGCTTAGGTTTGCCTTGCCTTTCTTCAAATCTAGAGCCGGTGACAATGAATTGATTAATGCTTTGCGTAAACTTTGGCACTGCATAGTTTCAAAGCTTAAAACTTGATGCACCTGTGAAGCCAAGCCATTGTGAAGACATGATTCTGTTTTATGGGTGTACACTGGGAAGCTAAAGCTATAGCTCCAATATGTTTATCTGCACTATCATGTCATCTCATGACTATTGGGTTTGTTTGGTGTGACTGAGCCTTCCAAATCTAATGAATCATAACATCGAATGATTGCTATACCTATATGTGACATTTTATCCTTAGCATTGTAGCTTCTGGTTGACAACACCTAATCCTGCTTGTCTCTAGAGGTTGTACCTAATCCTGCTTGTCTCCAGGTTCTGGATGCTCGGTGGTGATTGGTTTCGCTGCTAAAACGACATGGAGATCACCCGTACTACACGCCTGGGTACAACATCGTAGCTACCACGCATAAGAGTTCAAGGTAATTCTGTGTCCATGTTAATGCTAATTTAAGCGGAGATAATAATAATTGTGTACATAGGGAAGAGGCGATGTCTACGCCGGGAGATCCATGCGACGGTCAGAGCAAAATGTCTACGCTGAGAGATACACGCGGAGCGCAAAGCCAAATGATTACGCCAACATATACACGCGAACCACTAAGTGATATCACCAACGTCAGCCAAATGATTACGCCGACATATACACGCGAACCACTAGGTGATATCACCAATGTCATAGGTATACTTAAAATATTTTCGTATGCAAACCTTTTCATATTTTTCACTATTTACTTTGGAAGGACGTTTTCATATTTTTAGATGAGGAATCGCAGAGAGGAGGAGCAAAGGAATATGCAAAGAACGGAAACGTCGAGTGATATGTCCATGGAACAAAGGGACGAGATCAATCGGAAACAACGTGAGTACCGAGAACGGAAGAAACATGCAACCCGAATAGTAGCACTTCCGCTTTCTGCGTGAGAGACGGTGTCGTTAACTTCAAAGATCGTCCATAGGTATTTAATCTCTTTCTATTTTTGGACACTTATTATTACACCATAACCCGTTTTGATTAAGTAGAGGTCAACCATTTTGTGCCACCCAATCATAGGACTTGACGGCTACCGCCGACCCACGTAATGAAAACACGCCAAATATATTTTCCAACGGAGATATGGAAACAAATAGTAGAGATGTTGGCGTGAGGCACGGCGAACACAAGAGTCGATCTGTTGTCTGTGGGACATAAGCGACAATGACCTAGGTATAAGTGATGGTTATTTTGTAAAGGAAACACACTTTTATATCTACACACCCCATCTCTATATATTGACTTTAACATGTGTCGGGGACCTAATACCAGGGTACCCCAGAAGGTGGAACCAATAACCATCGAACGTTAAAAACTTACGGATTCGACAAGGGCGCCATACTGCATTCCCTTGCCCGAATGGCGAAAATTAGGTTCCGTCTCACCCGACGCCTTTGGGCCAGCCCCGCCTCGCCCGAGGGCAAAGGGCTGGCCTCCGTCTCGCCCGACGCCTTTGGGCCAGCCCCGCCTTGCCCGAGGGCAAAGGGATGGCCTCCGTTCCGCCCGACGCCTTTGGGACAGCTCCGCCCACACCCGGGCTGAAGGCTAGTCTCCGCCTCGCCGAGGGTTGAGAGATACCTCACCTCGCCCGACCCACGAGGGGTGGGCTCAGTCCACGCCTAAGGGATAAGGACTGGGCTCCACCTCGCCCGACGACCAAGGACGAACCTCACCCCGTTCGATGTCCAGAGACTGGTTTCATCTTACCTGATAACTTCTCTCCCGTTCCCCCATGATGATGGGTACAGAGCAAGACAAGACGTTCGGGTCAACCACGGCCTCAAGGACCATACCCTGCGCCCCGGCAGGAAAGGTACTGCCAGGGAATGACTGGACAGGTGCTTTAGACCCTCCCGGGCGCCGCAGAGCAAAAAAGGTATTGCAGGCGCGTACTCCTCGCCCTATAGAGTTGTAGGCGCCGCCTTCAGCTCTGGGACACGGAACCCGACGAAGATACACGACAACCACTACACTCCAGAAAAGGATTTGTGATCTCCACGAATGATGGACATGCCGTCACCGCGTTATGGATCCAAGGGAGCGGCGCCCGCTTCCCGACCCCTCGGATCCACCAAACCAAAGAACCTTGCCCACAGCGCTACTCTGGACCTCGACTCCGCGTCCCTCCAACAGAGACTCTTAGGAGCCAAAAGGCGTGTGGAGCAAGGCTGGGCGAGGTTCATAAGTCAAAACCACTGTACTACAGCCCATACCCTGCGCAGGGCACTATTCTGTAACCATCCTGACATTCTACAAAAGCATCGATAGTATTGTAGGCGCTTATCATCCTTTCACACCCATCAGAATGGGTAACAAGGCTGGGTAGAAGTGAGCCACAAGGCTAGGTAGAGCACGCATCCTAAGCCCTGACCCTTGTAAAGTCATCCCCTTCATCTATAAAAGGGGATGCGTTTCCTCCAGCAAAGGGAGACGGAAACAACGCAACACACACACACACGTAGTCAAGCTGCTACCAAGCTCTTGGCTTCCTTTTGACCCTTCCATCAGAGACTTGGGACCTATCCCTCTCTCGATCGTTTGTATCCCCTACTACGAACCATTCACGGTGCTAATTACACGAGCAGCAACAAACTGGACGTAGGGATATTCAGCCCGAACCAGTATAAATCTTGTGTCCTTTAGCGCACCATCCGAGCCTAATGCGCATTACTATAAATTTACTTGTCGGTGCTTGTACGAAACACCGACAGTTGGTGCGCCAGGTAGGGGCCTTGCGCGTTCCAAATCAGGCCTCGGATGGCCACCCACGCAATCAGCTGGGCCCCGGGCGCACATGTGCGTTTTGGCGACCTAGATTTCATCGTCACACTAGGAGGAGAACTGGCGCTGACCCACACGGCCGCACAGCCTCTCCCTTCCATCAACCTCAGCCGTCTGAGGCTTGAGGGCCCGCGGGGTGACTCCCTTGGACCCCAGTTATCTAGGGAGCCCCCGCGCAGCATCACCCTATTTTCGGAAGGCCCCGTACGAAGCGCCCCGACAGCGTTTCCATTCGGTCTCCGCAACGTCGCGGCGACCGCCGGCCACCTTCTAGCACTACGCATGGTTCAGCCGCCTACGGACAGCGAGTTCGTGGGGGTAATCGAACACGATCCGGAGACACTCTACGGGCTCCTCATGGAGGAACCAGAGTCGTCCTCCAGCTCTGACTCCAGCAAGAGGAGCCATCACCCTTCCCGGGAATGCTTCATGACGCAAACCCCAAGGGACACGTCCAAAGCGTCTCCGGAGAAGAAACAACCCTAATAGGCAACCCCGATGCTAGGATCAAGGCGGAGACGGCGGCTCCATCTCATGTAAGGATGGAGCAGCTGAGAGCACGAAAGCTGGAGATCGATGACGTCGGGCAACAGCTTGTCCGGGAGTACCGAAACATCAAGGAGGAGATCAAGCATCGCGGAGACAGTGGGCACGCACGCGCCTCGGCCCGTGATGTGCATCGAAGGATCCTCACCGATGATGGGACTCTCCCTCACTTCGCTCGGGCAAGCCAGAACATCGCCGTAGCGACGGCCTTGCTGCACGGCCTTCCGGAGGCCGTGATGTCCGAGGATCGCTGCACCCGTCGAGAAATTCACACGTTACTCGAGCGTGCGGCGGCGCAGCAAGCAGAAAGGTCGTTGTCTCAACGACGCGAACCCGACACCAGCCAGCGCATGCCCTCGGTACGTCCCGCCAAGGACGTGTCCGTTCACTAGACGCTGCCAGGCAACTGGCAGCGCTCTGCTATCCCGGTACATCAACGTCTCGGCCACAACCGTGACATGTGCAGCACCATCGACGCCCGTAGGCGCACCCACGGCGATGAAAGAGAAGGAGCCCGTCACGACTATTATCCTCGACGCGGCGGACGCTACGACAGCGGCGAGGACCGGAGCCCGAGTCTTAGCCTGCCAGGCCCT